AGAGAAGGGCAGAGATGAGGCAATAACGAGTTACAAATGTTAAAATGAAGTCAGTAGAGTAGGAAGACGGGTGGATGGGAGGCAGCACACGAGCAACCTCGGCACATGGTGTGCAAACGGGGAAGAAATGGTTGAAATGTAGGAGGGGGAAGTCTCATTTCTTAGTTTTGCCTGAGAGAGAGTCTCTGCGCACAGAGCCAGGGAGAAGGTGTGGGAGGACTGGGAAAAGCAGTGAGAAGGCAGGTGTGGGGAGGACAGTTGTTCAGGAGAAAGAGCCTTGGCCGGAGACTTCTGCTGCTGAGGAGCCTGAAGTGAGGACAGGGTGAAGGTGTGATTCCTCACCAAGGGATGGAACAAAGCTCAGGGTGGAGGAGAGTGATGGGGGGGAAGGAGGAGGGAAGAGGTTCCCTGTGCTGATGACCTGAAATCCGTGGGGCATGAGAGACTTGGTAAATGGAAGGAAAACTTGGCAGAGGGAGAAAGGAAGCAACGTGGTGAGCACCAGGTGAGATTAATTGTGCTTTCGCTAATGGATTACGATGAAAGGAGGGTGTAGAGAGGTGGGGGTCGGTCTCTTCTCCCAAGTCACAGGCGACAGGATGAGAGGAAATGGCCTCAAGTTACACCAGGGGAGGGTCAGGCTGGATATTAGGAAAAATTTTTTCACTGAAAGGGTCATCAGCCATTGGAATGGGCTGCCCAGGGAGGTGGTTGAGGCACCATCCCTGGAGGTGTTCAAAAGACAGGTTGATGTAGTGCTGGGAGGTATGGTTTAGTGATGGGGATGCTTCTTGTTTGTTGTGCGGGTGTCTATTTTTGTCAGTTAGGTTGACAGTTGGACAAGATGATCTTTGAGGTCCCTTCCAACCTAGAAGATTCTGTGATTCTGTGATTCTGTGAAACGAGGGCACTGGGGGGATTTCAGCCAACATGGGCCATCGGGAGCACAGGAGCTCTGGTCCTCATCCCGAGCTGCCCCGCCAGTGGGGGTTTGGAGCCAGGTGCCCGCAGGATTTTGTGATGCCACACGCGAAGCACGAGATCTGCAGGGGCTGGAGGGGGAGCTGGATCCTGCCTGGGCTCTCTAGTGCCTTTTCATGTATTAATCAGGCCCTGTTGGCACTCTGGTGCCTTCTCCTCCTTTCGATAAAGTGATTTTCTAAAAACTGGTGGAGCCAGTGCAGTCTTGACTTTTACAAGGTGCCTTGTCTGATACTAATATACACCACCAATAATCTTACCCGACGGATAAAAAAAAAAAGAAACAAGAAACAACAAAAAACCCCTATCTCTGCAGCCAGCATAGTACAGGTTTTAAATTTTCTGGTGATTTTCTTTGTAAACTGCTCAGCAGGGTATTATTCAGGCAGCTGCATCGAGGGACTAATATAACATGTGTTCTCAATTTTGGACCCTTTATGTTGGGAATTTTCCATTGTGCAATCGCATTAAATCTGAGGCGGCTGACAAGAGCACGATGTTTTCTAACTCTACACAAGGTTAAATGACTGAAATAAAAATAGATGGAAAAGAAAACAAAGTAAAATAAGTTTGCTTGCTGGTGTAATGGCAGGCAGTAGCGTGAGGTCAGGGACTTAGCGACAGCCCAGCCATCAGTCAGGGACCGCGGAACGACTGATCCTTCCTAAATCGCTCTGGAAATGATCTTCTGTGGCAGGCGCTCGTTCTCTTCCATTCACACAGATCATCTAACCCAGAAGACTGTGTTCAAAGTTCTCATTTTTATATAAATTGGGGTAATAATGACTGTATTTGTGAAGCATTTTACTTGCTAAATGCCAGGGCTATAGGATGTTATTTGCAGTATTTTCCTTCCTAAGAAGCGTATGATTTTTACTGCTGCCTGTAGGAAAAGTACAGGCTGTGCTGGAGCTGCGGGCGGGGGCAGGGGCAGGCAGTCTGCGGAGCAGCGGGGGGGTCTCGCATGTGGGAGAGTCGGGGGGAATTTACAAACAAATTTACAAAAATTTACAAAAATTTACTAATGTCAGGCCAAGGCGGCAGCTGGAGGAGAAGCCACAGCTCCCATCAGTTGGGTGGTGGGTGACACAGCTCCACAGCCTCACGTGCAGCTCCTCAGGGTCCTTCTGGAGCTGGTTTTGGCTCCATAGTCCCATCCAGGAGGGATTCCACTTTTGCCCCCGTTTTACGTCTCGCAGGTTTTGGTTTCAGCCCAGATTGCAAAGGCAGCTCTTCTTTCTCTCTCTGAAGTCTAGATGGGATGTCAGCCCAGCTTCAGCAGGTACCAGCCCTCTGGTCTCGCACAGATTGTCAGCTTCAATGTTTGTTAAGGGAAGTTTCATGAATAAAAGCAAAGGAGGTTGCCGTTTATTGCTATAATTTTTTTATTGAAGCAGAGCTTTATGCGTTCACAGAGTTAATAGCTTTTGTTCAGGTAGAGAATGAGGTGACCTCAAATGCTAAATCCCAGTTTGTTCTGCTTAAGTGACCAGCTGCACCCCACTACAGCAGTCCGTGCCTCATTATGATCTTGCTGACTTTGTGTTTTGGAGACTGATATTTTAATTACCGAGTTCTGTGGTGTTAGAGCAGGTGTGTTCACCGAGGCTGGACACCTGCATCCGAACAGGGGAGCACCCAGCCAACAAGTGCATGCCCTGTCGTTAGGAGAGCCACTAAGTGGTGCAGTTTCCAGGGGTTTTGAGCAACAAATGGGAAAGAATCTCCATTGAGGTCTGCAATGTATTTTGCAATTGCAAAAAAAAAATAAATATATATATGTGTATATGCCTGTCTTTTGAAAAAATAGCTCTAGATTGGAGCTGTGCAAGACAGACCATTAAGTTAAAAATAAATCTTCAGAACACAGTGCATCTAAACATAAATTGTTTATTACTGGCTATTTTATTTATACCAGTCATGGGATATTCAACGACTGACATGGGAACAGCAAAACATGGTTTTGAATTCTGGGTTTGGACAGCGAGGCAGCGAGTGGCAGCTGGGAGAATGTAGCTGTAAGAACATAGACCCAAACCCTAAGATAGCTCCCCAGGAGCACAACCAGGGCTCAGGACGCCACTGAGGGCAGGCAGGGCTGGAATGCCCCCTTGCTGGCATTTTCATTAAAACACTCTAATTAGAAGGTACAAGCAGGGATGCGTGGCTTTGAAACACCACCAGTGGTTGAGTTTCGTGGCCGGGGCCCTTCGTCAGGCAGGGTGATGCCCAGTGCTCCTTCCAGAACACCCCAGCAGTGGATGAACCATTTTTTATTAATGAATAATCAGGTACTAATTAACAACAGAGGTGAAAACCCAACCGTGTGCTTCTCTGGTCTACCTAAAAGGAAAAGAAAGCCATGAAGTTAATTTTATTTACTGTTGAAGGATACTGGAGTGCCTTTTGTAACCATTTTAGCAGTGTTTGCAAGCTACACTGAGAGCCAGACACGTTCCCTTTTACTGTTTGTTAGTGTAGCTCTAAAAACTGACTTGCCATCTTTCTGTTCTAAAATACAAATGAAATTGTGGCATCTGGTCCAAAGCCCGTGCAAGGAATATTTGAAAGAGCTGGAGTTCTTACGGATACAGCTCACGCTGGCTGGAAGGGGGAAATAGAGAAAAGGCACGGACTGAATGGGATCTGCTTTGCTCAACATTCATTCCACTCCACATCAATTAAATGAGGAAAATAAAAACTATAGTGTTCACACTTGAAAAACAGCCAGTTTTTCCAGTATTTTCCTGCCACCTTAACAAACCATACCTGCTGGATATGGTGGTCAGTGACTAATTACATTTTCTGTGTATTTAAAGGTTGAAGTAATTAAAGATGTCAAATGTTTTCCTCTGGTCAAGAAAAGAATCAAACCCCCTGACTTCAGTTCTTGAGGGGAAGAGGGGGGAGAGCTCTCTTTTACCCAAGCACGGTGCGGGGCAGCAGTTCCTGCTCACAGGAGCTGCAGATGGGCTCTGGGGCTAATTTGTACTTTTCTCTTACTATTTTCCTTGGCCATTGAGCAACCTGGTTTAGTGGGAGGTGTCCCTGCCCATGGCAGGGAGGTTGGAACTCGATGATCTTTGAGGTCCCTTCCAACCCAAACCATTCTATGATTCTATGATTAGGAAGAGCCGGCTCTTAGACAGAGCCTGGAATGCACTCCTCCCACTCTTCCATAATAGGAGGAACATTTTCCTGCTAATTATTTTGTTTTCTATCTATATTTATACACACCCCCCCGTAAATTTTGTTTTGCTTCCCATTCCCTTCTGTTTTTTGCAGGTACAACTTGCTTGATCGCGCTGTTGTCGGATAAAGAACTCACCGTGGCCAACGTTGGTGATTCGCGAGGCGTCTTGTGTGACAAGGACGGAAACGCCATCCCCTTGTCACACGACCACAAGCCCTACCAACTGAAAGAGAGGAAGAGGATTAAGAGAGCTGGTGAGTCGTAACGTTTTTGCTTTGGATTGAAGCTTCATCTTTTTTTCTTCTCTACTCTGTCAATAATGTAGACTTTTCCCCTGAGAGAGACTGAAAAGTACTAGACTGAGGCATCAGCAGATAAAATCTTCCATTATTAATACAGCACTTTTCAGCGGGATGCGATGGGGCAGACAGAGAAGTGGAAGCAGAAGGACCTATCCCTTAACGAGCCCGTGTCGGGGTAAGAAGAGCAGCTTCATCCTCACCAGCCAGTTGAGCGTCCCGGCCGGTTTCCCTCTGATCTCTGCAGGGAGCAAATTAATAAACAGGAGCTGCCTCACCCCGAACCGTGTCGCAGCCTTTATGCGAGAGGCTGGCTCTGCAGCCCAGGGAGGTTTAGTTCCCAAAATAAGCAGAGCAGGAATCTAATTCATCAAAGCTATTTTTTGTTCCTATCGAGTGACTGCTAATGAGCACAAACACAGCAATTGTAGCAGGGGTAACAGGGAAAGAACCTAAGAAACACAAACCTTTCCACAGTCAATCTTTCTCCCTTTCATCACTTGTCAGTTTAGCGACCTCCTGGGCTAGACGTTACGTTTGGATCATCAAGTTTAATAGCCAATTCTTCATGAATTTGTCAAAGTCTCTTTTGAACCCATTTCTGGTTTGGCTCCCGCAGCAGCAAATTATTTGATGAAGGAAAGAAGTTCCCCTTTGTTTGTGTTAAACCTACCAAAGGGCACTGCCTCCAGAGATGCGTTGCCTCCGCATCTTCGTCTGTAAAGTGGAAATAACAAGTTTTTCACTGAGTAGAAACCATTTTAAAAACCTACAGGTTGTCATTTTATTGCCGAGGAGGCGTAAGAGCAGTGGGGATCCTTCCTGCTGCCAGGCAGAGAGCAGAGGTCACAAACGTGTCCCCAAAGGGGAAGAAGAAGTACACAGATCCTAAGGAGGAACAGGAAAATCTTGGTCTCACTTTGCCTCAACTCTGTACTTGGGGGAAGAATCAATAAAATCTGGAGATTTTTCTGTAAAATTACTTCCCTCTTGGCCAAGTCCAGGGCCTCTGTGCTATCGTTCATTTAAAGAAGGCCTTCACTTAAGAGAAAAAAAAAAAGTGGGTATTTTGGGTAGAAGTGAGTCTTTATAAGATAACAATGTGAAAAATGAACCTGGATTTTTGCAGGAGTTTCCAACTTTGGAAGAAATTATTTTAATGGACAGGGAAATGTTCTAACCATCTGCAGCTAAACAAGGAATGTTCCGTCTATCCTGGTGACTTAAGGAATTTGCTTCTCTGGTACCTCTTGCCCCGTTGTGTTCTCAGGATTGATACAGCCTCATAGAGCTGTTAAAAACACACACTCCGGTTCATACCACTGCTGGGTACTTTTGCATTTTGGAAAATCCCTTCTTTACACACAGTAAGTGTAAAACTGAAGCAAGGTGCCCAAACAGAATTATGCAGCCTCCATTGCTACTGTGACAAAAGCACCTGCCTTTCTCCCACCATCTAGATATTCTCTTTCCACGTGGAGCAGGAGAAAGCAACAATAACTACATCATTAGCTTACATTTCAGTTTCCCACCTTTACATTGCACCATCAGGTGCAGTGCCCAGTGCCCTGTGGGTAGTTATAAAACGACTGCGCGTTTGTGTTAGTAGGATTAGATTTCATTTGAAAGTGAAATCCATACAGCCACGGTTGAGAAAATACCCTTCAAACCTCCGTCTGATATAAATCAATTTGAGGCAGCCTGAAACAGCAGCTCAGAGGAGAGCGTGCCTTGCCCTGTGCGTTTCAGCGGGGCGTTGACATTGGGATGACAAGTCTAAACTAATCCCTCATTTTTTGCTGCCACGGTGGATGTTAAGGAGCCCCACCACTTGCTGCTGTCAGCCCGCAGTGGGTGGGGAATGAATTCAGAATCACAGAATCACACGGGGTTGGAAGGGACCACCAGAGATCCAGTCCAACCCCCTGCCAAAGCAGGGTCACCCAGAGCAGGTTGCACAGGAACATCTCCAGGTGGGTTTGGAATGTCTCCAGAGAAGGAGACTCCACCACCTCCCTGGGCAGCCTCTTCCAGGGCTCTGCCACTCTCACAGTAAAGAAGTTCCTCCTCATGTTTAGGTGGAACTTCTTATATTCAAGTTTGTGCCCATTTCCTCTTGTCCTGTCCCTGGGCACCACTGAAAAAAGACCAGCCCTGTCCTCTTGACACCCACCCTTTAAGAATTTATAAGTATTGATCAGTTCCCCCCTCAGCCTTCTCTTCTCTAGACTAAAAAGACCCAAGTCCCTCAGCCTCTCCTCGTACAAGAGATGTTCCAGGCCCCTCATCATCTCTGTAGCCCTTTGCTGTACCCTCTCCAGCAGTTCCCTGTCCTTCTTGAACTGGGGAGCCCAGAACTGGACACAGTGCTCCGGATGGGGCCTCACCAGGGCAGAGTAGAGGGGGAGGTCCTTCTCTTTTCAGTCCCTCTCTTTTCCCTACTCCCAGCAACTGTGTCCAAAGTCTTAGTCAACCCACAGCCTGAAATAAAATGTCCATTTATCAGTCTGACGTGGCTGGAGCAGCTCTTGTGCTGAAGCCCCAGGAGATGCCGCTCAGGTTTCTTGTTGGAGTTCCTGCAGTGGGAGGGAGGTCACTGGTCCCCAAGCCTGCAGCTGAGTGCCAAAAGGAAGGAGAGCAGCAAAGAGAGCAGGGCAGGGCCCTACATTTCAAGCCGAGGTGCTGCATCCTGTGGAATTACCCACTCCATGGCACGGCCGGGCACTGAGCAGCAGCGGGCACAGGTCAAGACTAACTGTTCTTTTCAGCTGATACACGCTCACCAGTGCTGTGGTGCCACCTCTCTCCCAGCTGAATGAGATTGGGGTCCCACCACTCTGCCCTGTTGCCGTGGGACAGGGGAATGTGTGTCCTGTGACACAAGGATGGTGGTTTCCTCAGAAAACAAGGAATCTCCTTCCGATCAGGAGCTTGAGTGATGTTACCAGAGTAAGACAGTGGCCTTGAAACAACCCTGGGTTTGGCTTGTGAAGAAACTCTCGGTCATAGACCCACAAGGTGACTGTCACTGATAGAAATTTAAGTCATTCACCTTGAAGGTAATCCTCTGAGCTCAGCTCTCACTAACATGCTCAGTGTTTGTGCGGTTGCCAAAAACCTTCTATTTCTTTAATGTCTTTTCTTCTCCAGTGGCAGCCGGGGCTGCAGAACGTTCACTTCTCCATGAGCGTTTTTATGCATTCTGTACGGATGGCTTTATAAAAGAAAATATTGGAAGTGCCAACAGACACTTGAGCAAACCCCAGGAAGTCAACTTGTGCCGTAGGCAGTTCTGGGTGCCACTTGAGAATGGCACCAAACAGTCACTTAGTGCACGTAAGCACAACCCGAGCCAGTACGTGTTGTCAGCACAGCAGCAGCAGCAGCTTCTCTGCTCTGCCAGCACAGGGACGTGCAGGCATCACTGTCCTCTAACTGTGTGTGCCGTGGCTGCTTCAAACTGCTGCTTCTCAGCTGCATTTTGCTTCCCCCATCATTCCAACACGCACACAAGATCACACCCCGGTTACCATAGTCCTAATCGCTGCTGGAGCCCCCCGGGCTGGTGAGTAGGTGTCTGTGCAACGTTCAGCCCTGCTTCCTCCATCATTCCAACATGCACACAAGATCACACCCTGGTTACCGTAGTGCTAATCGCTGCTGGAGCCCCCCGGGTTGGTGAGTAGGTGTCTGTGCAACGTTCAGCCCTCAGAACCTCCAGCAGCGGCCGGAGGAGGTTGGTTTGATGGTTCATCTGAAGAGGAGCTGCAGTAGGGTCACCAGTCCTTGCTTTTTTTGGCTGAAACATCTTCATAATGGAGACTCCCTTAGAAGTATTCATGAAAACACCCAGCTAAAAAGTTGTCTTGCTGCTGGTTTTAACACAAATGAAGTTTTCAAGCTTTAAACACCAATGAATCATTAAATGAAATTTAGTTTTCACCTGGAAGCAGAAGGAATTTACAGATTAGATCAGGCGACCAGGAATGGAAATGTTTTCATGAGACTGAGGTGACTGACAAATACCCTACAGGCTGAAGTGCAGAGCTGAAAACATCCTGATAACTGCCAAGAACAGAGCCATTTGTAAGGACACCAAAGCAGACAGCTTGCAGATAGAAAAGGCAACAGTTCACCTCATTTTGTCATACATTTTAATGTCCCATGTTTGCAAATTATTTGTCCTCAAGTGATGTTTCGTTCACATTGAGATGACAGGAGTATTGCTATGACACGGTGCCGACAGCGGCCGGCAGATGCAGGCACAGGAACTGAAGGTGCCTAAATGTCCCTTTTTGACCTTGAACACCGTGCAGTTCCCTCCCTGGCACAACCAGACCGAGTCACAGCCAGGTGCTGGCTCTGTCAGAGTCACCGATTTCAGTGCAAAACTTACCTCACTATAAGCAAGCCCTAAATAATATATTTTCAACTAGAAGTTGCTTTAATCCTGGTGACGGTAAAATCAGTCAGATCCCACATTGCATTTTTCTGACTTGAAGTAAAATTTCCTGACGGGTTTGTTCTCAGCAGTTTTTTTGGTCCTTTTTGACACAGCTCACTGAAGGCAGTTTGATAGAAGAGCCTATGAATGTTTTTTGCACTTGCTTCTTTGCCTTACGCCTCAGAAGTGAGATGTGAGTCCTGCTGCAGGGTGGTTTCGGTGCCATTTCCTTCATAGATCTTCTGAAATGGGGAAAATGTGAGCCACACAGGAAAAGGAGGTGTTTACTCACACAAAAAGATTGAGATTTGCTCTCAGTGTTGTTGCCATGAGGCTTTCTGAGCAGTGAGCTGTGGGGCCCAGGGGTGCCGGTGTCGGTAGGTTGTTGGTCTCTCTGGGGGAGCAGAGAGCCTGAAGCTGCTTCTTTTGAGAGCACAGCCGTTCCCGACTTCTCTGCTCCAGCTCTTTCACCAGCACAATCCAGCTCTTCCCTGCAACCCTCTGGGATTTACCTATGGCATCTCCTGCTTTTGGAGATAGGTAACATCTGTGTGCCCCAGGAGAGAGCAGCCTGAATTTTTGGGTGGGTCCGGCAGGAAGCCAGGGAAATGCTTTAACTTTTTAAAAAGCCCTGCTTTAAGTGTTGGTGTTTCTCTCCAGGTGGTTTTATCAGCTTTAATGGCTCCTGGCGCGTGCAGGGGATCCTGGCCATGTCCCGCTCCTTAGGAGATTACCCTCTGAAGAACCTGAACGTTGTCATTCCTGACCCTGATATTCTTACCTTTGACCTGGACAAACTGCAGCCAGAGTTCATGATCTTGGCCTCGGATGGTCTGTGGGATGCCTTCAGCAACGAGGAAGCTGTGCGATTCATCAAGGAACGCTTGGATGAACCACACTTTGGGGCAAAGAGTATAGTTCTACAGTCCTTTTACAGAGGATGTCCCGATAATATAACAGTGATGGTGGTGAAGTTCAGGAATAGCAGCAAAACAGAAGAACAGTAGTTACTGGCAGTTCTCTGCCTCTCTCTGAACTTCAAACAAACTCTTACATTTTAAACATAGTAGAAAGCTCTAGTAAATGCCGTTAAGATTCTACACAAAAAGGAACAGATCCCTCTGGTCTTTGTTCTTTGCTTAACAAAAGCAGCAATACAACAAATACATTCTGAGTGATGATAAGAATTAAGTTTGTTCACATGTACCTGTCTCCCGTGACCTTGCTGCTCCTTAGATAAACTAACTGTAACCTTCCATTGCACAATTTTCTTTTACAAATCCTCTGTGGACGTCTCGTTGGGTTCCTCACCTCTGGTTTGTGATGGGCGGAGGTTCCGTGGGGCGCAGGGCAGGGTCGGGGCTGGGCAGCAGGTGAGAGGAAAGATGCTGCTTTTCACCCGGGGGTGGGACTCTTCAGAAAAGATGCTCTCGTGTTTCTCATCTCCTTTCTTTTTTCATCTGCAGTGATGAGGTTGTACAGAAAAAGGTTTGCGGTAATTGGCCTGTTGTTGATAGGAAGGAGGAGGAGGAGGCAGCTGTTAGCCTGCTGCCACGGAACCGGCTCTCTCGCTTTGTTATCCTCCCCCCCCTCCTGAAATAAATCCCCGCCGAGCATGTGATGAGGTGTAATTACTGAATTACCCGCAGCCACACGTTGGTGCAGTCTGTGCATTACTCTAATAACATTTCTTCTATGCCATATTGTATTCCAACCAACCCATGTTAAACTCCGGCGAAATGCTCTGAGGTCTGACACCTTCTGTATCAAAAAATAGCTCTGCTGTGACAGAAGAAAGTCTGTCACTCACCCAGACTCACCCTGACGTTAGGTTTTTGGCATGGACTTCTCGTAGGCGTGTAAAGAAAGTAATGCAAGGTTAAATTAATTTCGTTAGTGACTGTTTGGAAAGCTAATCAAAACAGAGCACTCCTTAGAGCTACCTAGGTGGAAGTCAAGCTTATTAAAGACTTCCTTGTGCCACTGCAGATTAATTAGTGGTGTTAATCCAGGGGAAGACCACTTTAGAACCCTTTTTTTGGTACAATGTATGAATGCCAGGCAGTGTCGCTGCGCTGTAGAGAGGAAAGCTTGTGTTAAATCTAGGTAAAAATACGTTTAGGTCTAACTTTAAGTATTTAATTGTATTTTGGAATCTGTGACTACTGTAGGTTTAAACAATGAGTCTGAGTTTGCTCTACATCTGATAACTGCTTCGTGATGGAGAGGCAGTGGCAGCAGAGTGACAGGGCAGTCGCGTGTGAGAGGGACAGAGCCAGGGCCTGAGCTGGGGGTCAGTGTTTTGGGTGGCTGCTGGACCTGGATCGGGTCTCATCATAATCTTTGGGATTCCCTCCCCGCAAAAACATGGTCCTGGACTATTTGCTGAAGTCTCTTGTCTTCAAGGTGATGGAGGTTGTCAGTATTTGGGTCCTGAAGGTCAATCAGGGATATTAGACATTAACTTTGCCTGTTTCTCATAACCACCTGTAGCGTTTCTGGGCAGGTGGCTGGCTGGTCCCTAAAACACTGTGATGTGGTTGTGCTGAGTGGGTGTGATGCCTCTCCAGACAAAACCAAAAAGAGCACAAATTCTTCTTTCCGCTCGAGAAGGAATCCCCATCTTAGTCTTTTCATTTTTGTTCCTGTGTTCCCCAACAAACTTCCCTCCTCTGATTGTTCGGAGACAATCACAACTGTTAATTGGCTCTGTGGCTGTTCAATTTGTATGTGTAGCCTTTAGCAGCCTCTGCTCAGCCCAGGCGCTGGGTAGAGCCCCTTCACCCTGAGGAACAGACCAGTGCAAAGCAGAAGTACGAGCGAGCCTAGAAACCAGCAGGCACCCGGCCTGCACTGGCCCTTCCCCGCGCGATGGAAGGTTTCCGACTTCTTAAATCTCTTGAACGGTGCATTGAGTGAATTTTAAATGCAACTTCGCAGTTAAATTGAGCAGCTAACAGGAAATGTTAATAATTGCAGAGCGCTTCAGTCACTTTATTTGGCAAAGCTCTTTGAGGTCAGAAGGCTGTGAAATGCAAACCTGGTGTGATATTTTCGTGGGAGCGCGTCACGGCGCTCTCGCAGTGCCCCGGCAGCAGGATGGAAGGGGTGCTCCAGGCAGAGCTCACGGTGCGTGTAGTGTTTGCCTTTCCTTTCTCCTTCACAGATGAGGTTTCCCTTGAGCTGGCTTTTCTTTGTAGGACACTGCCTGGGTGTTTGTCAAAACAGCTGCCCAGCGAAAAGAAGAATTAGCCCCAGCAGCCCACAGAACTGTAAAGCAGAGAGACGCTCGTACGGCAGAGACATCACTTCTAATCCTTCACAGGCACTTGAGAAGCTGGAACTGGAAGAATGGTCAGCTCAAAAAAAACACCCCCATTATAGACTAAGGCCACTGGAGTGAAAAGCTCTTGGCTGCCACTAAGCTTGGGGCAGCTCAGGTTCTGGAGGTGAGTGAGTGTAGCTGAGGGATGCCCGACCTCCTGAGCAGGGCTGGCTGGTTGCTCTGGTGCTCGAGGTGGACAGAAAAAGGAGGTGGCAGGAAGGGTGCCCATGGAGAGAGCCCCGGTCAGTGAGGAGGCAGGGGGAGGGCGGCTGGCTCTGCGGTGAGCCAGGCTCACGGGATGGTGCACACAGTGCAGGGCAGCACACAGCTGCCTGCAGCCTTGTCCGGGGGATTATTCCAGGATTCAGTGACTCCGTCACTCACAGGCCCAGCCAGCCAGTACCCAATCAGCCCTGCTTCAACCTTCAAGTGTCTGCAGTTGCAACAACAGTTGTTTTAGCACCTTCAGTTTTCTCTGCAACACTCCCACCTTTCTAGCGGCTCCCTGTCCTGGCCAAAGACATTCATGCCAATGATCTCTGGTAAGGTTGACTTTTCATTTTAATTACTGTAAAAAGCTAGTTACAGCTACTTTATATTTAAATATGAAGGACTAATGGAGTCTGTGAGATGAGAGGCTTTGTGCAGTCTTCCACATACATGCCCAGTGCCTACCTATAACCCCTGCTAGAGGTCTCCTAAGTTACCCAGTTCTAGACATTCATCACTTCCCAGTCACCAAATGCTGTCTGTGCCAAATTCTGTCGTGATCCATACAGCTGTATGACAAGATTTAATGTACATACTGCTTATGCAACCTAAACAATCTAGGGTCTGATCCTCCACTGCCTTAATAATATATCCTACATCTGATAGAGCTGCCAGACACCGTAGCCAGAAATTACCCCCTGGTGTGCTCCAGCAGGGTGCCAGGACGTGCTGCAGCACGGGGGAGGCAGGGCTCCAGTGCCCCTCAGGGTGCTGCCCTGCCTGGGCACCTCTCCAAAAAGAAGGGAGATGCATTTAGGTTGAAGTGGTTGCTCACATCCAGGAGCTCCCCTCTTGCCCGGCATCTTCATGGAAATTTTTTGCAGCTGAAGCCAGAGTAGCTCCGTGGGTGATACTGTTCATGATGGCTTCTGATGGCAGAAAACTGATATATTAAGTTGCTGCCAAAGAGCATCTTTTGTATGGTCCGATATGAAAAAAATGTACCTTGTAATTAGTCATCTGATGCAGCACTTGGAAAAATCTGGGCTCTTCCCAGTGGTGATGCAAGTTAAAAGTAAGTAAGAGCTTAACTGCATCTTAAAGCTACTTCCATTTAGCTTTTCATTCTGAGTACAGACGACCTTTAGTTTATGGTTGTGGTTTGGGAAAGGCCGTTCATGGGTACAAGGAGAGGGGCGCAGCCCTCGCCGCCGCTCTCTCCCGGTGCCGGCCGCGTTCGCTGGGATCACAGCGCCCTCTAGCGGCTGCCCTGCCCGAGCTGGGGAACCCACCGGCCTCCCTTAACCTTAACGGCTCAACACCCCGCAGCGCCTCCGGCTCACTCACCCCTCCGTGGGCATCTTCCCTGCGTGGGCCGCTCCGCTGAGGACGCTCGGTGCGTGGGATCCGGGCGGTTGGCAGGCTCTGGGTGGCAGGAGATGCTATTCCGTGTCGTGTAAAATCTACGCCTCTTCTTTTGTAGCCACATCCGGCGCTAGCGCTGGGGGCAAACTGATGCTGTGAGGCCCGCGGCACCACCGCCCTTCCTAAAATGGCTCAAAATACAAAATTTGAAATGAGTGAGCCTGTTCTGCTGAATAGAATGTTAAGGTAAATATAAATAAACGCCATCTAAGATCAGGAAGTATGGGGCACAGCCCTCGCCGCCGCTCTCTCCCGGTGCAGGGGGGGTGCCGGTGCCGGCCGCGTTCGCTGGGATCACAGCGCCCTCTAGCGGCTGCCCTGCCCGAGCTGGGGAACCCACCGGCCTCCCTTAACCTTAACGGCTCAACACCCCGCAGCGCCTCCGGCTCACTCACCCCTCCGTGGGCATCTTCCCTGCGTGGGCCGCTCCGCTGAGGACGCTCGGTGCGTGGGATCCGGGCGGTTGGCAGGCTCTGGGTGGCAGGAGATGCTATTCCGTGTCGTGTAAAATCTACACCTCTTCTTTTGTAGCCACATCCGGCGCTAGCGCTGGGGGCGAACTGATGCTGTGAGGCCCGCGGCACCACCGCCCTTCCTAAAATGGCTCAAAATACAAAATTTGAAATGAGTGAGCCTGTTCCACTGAATAGAATGTTAAGGTAAATATAAATAAACGCCATCTAAGATCAGGAAGTATTGTCTGCTGACTTGTGCACACAAGGTCAGTGCCGAAGCTGCTGCCGATGTTATTACAGTGTTACATGATTCACATAAAGTAAAATTTTTAAAAAGTTGTACAGTTTTTCGATTACAAAAGTTAGAGTTGAAGCAGTGCATCAGGTTGGAGTAACAGTGTTTGCTACAGAAACACACTGCAGCAGCTTGAAAATAAGGGATTTTGTTGTTCAGCTGCCTCTCAGAATATATGACATCCTTGCTTTAAATAATATATTGCTAACGTACCTGATACGCATTTTACACAGAGAAACACCTAGTAAGTGATTATACAAAAGAAAAAAAAACAAACCTCACCTTTCATTTTCTAAAGTAGGTTTTTAGGCCTCCATGCTGAAATCTGGCTGTACAAAATGGCAAGGTTAAAATTTAGAATGTTCTGCTGAAGTTTGGCAACTGTCAGAGCCCAGAGCTGCTGCCCCTCTCTCTTGTCAATCTATTTCTACATTACTTTTCTAAACCTGAGGGCTTGTATCTAAAAAGATACATACAGTGAGGTTAATACTGAGTTCTACAGTACCTTTCTAAACATGAGGGATTGTATCTAAAAAAGATACATACAGTGAGGTTAATACTGAATTGAAGTTTAAATCACTTTTATTTATGCAGTGCTGACCGTGAAGGCTGAGGTAAGCAGCTGTTTTACACGTAGTTTTCCCGTAGGTAACGCAAAGTTCTCTGTCTTAATTTGTCTCCAGTTGGGTGGGACAGGGCTGGATGCTCTGTGAGGCACAACATGTGTGCTCAGGGCAGGTGGAACCTGTGGAGAACCACAGATAAAGGTTTCCATCGAGAGCAATTCTTGAGTAACGTGGCAAAGTGTAACTAGGAACAGGAGCAGGGTCTGGAGAAACAGCATCAAACCCACACCGTGCCAGCGTTACACCCAGCGACTGCAAAAGCCACCCAGTCGAGTTGGAACTGCTCTCCAAGAAACGGTCGAGACAGACTCATTATGCAAATGAACTGTGCATTTAGCACTCTGCCAGGGCAGGTCAGGGCTTTATTAACAAAAATCCTACCCAAGACACAAGCTAACAAAACCGCAGTGTTTAAGCAATCCATCTTGGTTACAGACAGCTCAGTCCCAGCCGGCGGTGTCAGCGCAGATAACAGCCTCCTCAGGCTGCTGCCTGGAACACCTTTTCACAAGGAGCCAGAAGTAGTTTGAAGATTTGTGTCTGTATCACAAGCTCAGTGGGGACTGCACCGTGTCCCCGGCGGGGGGACACCACCACGGGCAGAGCGTTACCCAGCTGGGGCTGGGATGGACGTGACACCCACCATCACCTCTCACTGGGATTAACATGGCTGGAAACATTAACTCGCTGCACAGCAGCTGTCAGAAGGAGGGAGGAAAACAGAGCCCAGATATAGAAACCATCCAGAGAGAGGTCACTTGGGGTAAACTTTGTGGTTTTAAGCCCTTATTTTATAAGAGGAAAGCCAAGTCCCCTGACGGCGGGTGAGACAAACTGTGCTGTATCACAGGTGGCATTTCCCCCCACGAGCTGTGGGTTGACCTGGCCTCCAGCCAACAGTCCCCAAACAGCGGCATCTCAGAGAGACCACACCACCTTTTCCTCTGAAAGGAAGGGGCTTTAGGATTTTTAGAAACCCAATATATAAACGGAGTGTGTGTGTGAGTGTGTGTCTCTTTTGTGTTACAATTTTAGTTTTCTTTAAACTGTGGAGTCAACTACACATGGAGGAAACCCCACCACCAAACCCACCCCTCTGCTTATCTTCATTTTAACTTTGTTTTCTTTCCTTCCCACATGGAGGACCTGGGTTTGGATGGGGTTTACACCTTCACATGCAATACACGGTAACTGCACTAAAACCTGACAAGCTTCACTTAATGGAGACTGCAGAAAGCTTTACATCTCTTTCCCTTCCACCACTATCTTAAGTAAACTGTAAAGTACTTAAAAAATGACCCAAATGGTACATGCTTCAGACGAATGAAAAACCTGAAAAATAGGAAGCCAAGCTCTGCCTCCCAAACTCCTTCAACACACCTACCATAACCCACGGGCACGTACCAGGAATTCAGTGTCACGTTGTCTGGTTGACCTTCAACCAGATTCTAGTTTAAATTTGAACGAAATAGGATGAAATTACATTATTTATTGTGCATCCAGACATTCCTGAGTTACTTAAAATGCACTTGCATTGAAACGCTTTAGTAGCAACTAGAAAAAGTAAGACAAAACATAGGAAAATATTCCAAACCGTCTCCGTCCTGTCAATTCCGAAGTGGTGGTAGAGAATAATGCCCCAAATTTGCAGCACGTACCGTGTCATGGTTTATTTTGAACTTGTTTGTTCTAGAACCCACACAAAACACATTTTGACTCTTCTGAAATAACGTACAGGCAACAGGGGCTTGAAACATGCCATTGTAGCCCCTTTTGTTCCCCCCCCAGCAGCAGTTTCCCAACAGCTTTGACCAATGGATTATTATGAGGTTTTTCAAGTCAGGAATCCCCCCGATTTTCATATCGAAATCACAAGTGCTTGGAATTCTGATTTAATGCAGCTTTCCGAACCACTTGCCTGCGTGAGAAAAAGAATCTTAGGATTTGGGAAAATTTTAGCCTTTTTAGCACAGTATTGTAGGTAGATGCAATAAAACCTGGGCCCACCACTGACTTAAATGCTTACATTAGTTCACAGACTTAAGCTTTTTTTTTTTTACCTCTTGCACGGCTGCTCACACAAGAAACATTCCTGGTATTTGCTTTCAGCAGAAACATTAGCTCAGTTATGAATTTTTATGATCTTTTAAGCAATAATAAGGTCAGACTCAAATACAAACCAGATTTGGAAATGAAGTTTGTTTTTTTTAAAAAAAAACCAACAACAAAACCGGGAGCAGGAATATTTTACAATGTAAATTTCTCACAGAACTGATGTCACTTTAGATTATCTTTTCAGGTGGCATAAACAGATCACTGTGTATAAAACCTACATCTGTGAAAGCAAAAAGCCTTGTAATCTATGATCAGTGTTATCCTTCTGGGGCACAAATATAAAAAATCAATACCTTGCTTGGTGACAGTTGCGTTTTTCTTGCCGTCCTGCAGAGCCATCTCTCTGTGACACGCGGTTCCCACTCTCTCAAAGGAGCACTGGCTGCTTTATCTGCCCAGTCCCTGAAGGTTCTGTAGTCTTTCATAATTACATTTTTTGGGGGGAAAAACCAATACAAACTGTGCTGTAGTATCAGTGTTCTTGTGACAAATAATTTATTTCTAAACATTTAACGTGGCGCACACACACAAAAAAACCAGGTTGTTGGGGTTTTTTAAAAATATGTATAAACAATCAAAGAACAAGTTAAACGTTTCTCAGAGAGCTCTCAGGATTTGACCACAGTAAAACAATCAAAAAACAGATCCTAAAACCATAGGAACAGCTGTAGTTTCACCTGTTCCCAGAAATACAACAGCACTCTTCCCTCAGTTATGCAATACTGAAACTTTATCTACTTAGTTTACCAAAAAAATCTATTTTTGAAAAACTTTGACCTTCTTAACATATATTCTTAGAACACTGACATCTGAAATACTTGTCTAGAGAGTATTCCCCCCCAAGACCTCATTTTTATAGCTAAAAAAATAACATGTCCTGTAATTCCATCACAAAACCATGCGCAGTTGTTGGAAAGACAGCAAAATTCAATACTGACCATAATCACAATGTAACAAAAAACCTGGTGAAACCTCAAACTTGGTACTAGAGGTTTCTGCACCTCTTCTAATTTGTCTCTAAGAGACTATCTGAAAGACAGCCAAATGTAAATACATCAGAACATCTTCGCTGTAGTACGAATACGGTGGCAGCGCTCTGTCATTCTAGATGTACAGGATGTAACTATAGTACCCTCGCCGTGTAGTGGATGTGTCAAGAATAATTATGTTAATGCAATTGCAAATTCTGTATTGTTGTCTATTAGAAGTGTAAACTACTGAAAACTTGGCCTTGCTGATATGAATAAAGTGATTACAATACCCATCTTTACAGATATACAGTAGTTTGTCTTCTTTAAGAAATAATCTTAGAATTTCTTACTTTTTCCATTTTAAAATTTGAAGAAAGAAAACTATTTTAGATACACACACACAGCCTGCATCACGTTTCCACAATTTCCCATTGGCTTCTGCAGACCCCACAAAGTCCACGGGCTTGTGACACTCTCGGAAGGATTATGGAGGTGAGATGTTTAAATGAGCAGGTGTAACGCTCTCGGAAGGATTACGGAGGTGATATAGCGAAAGAAGGTTGTTGGGCGGAGAACAAATACCTGAGGGTGGCAAAGGATGATGCAGTTGCAAAAACAATTAAAAAAAATCCAGTTAGGAATTTGGGAAGGAGCTTCAAAGCTAGTTTCTTGGCGTAAACATTATTCCTCGGTGACATTTCATATTCCAGAAGATTCAAGTAGAAATCCCATGGTTACAGCAGACCATGTGGAGAAGAGTCAGAGGAAGACAGGCCAGAGGGTTCCAAAGTGTCCTGCATGTGTAGGATACACACGTGGGAAATACTTGTATTGAAGACTATTAGAAAGCCCCAGAGAAATGCTGCTGTTGCAGTTTTGCCCCGGCAGCACAGCCCTCCTGCAGCTGAAGTCATCTCTACAGCTGTGTTTTTGTTTTCTGTTGCCCTGGACTTCAAACGTTTTTACACCAAATACATTGAAGTTTATACATTAATACAGAATCAAAGGCAAGTAACCGAAGTGTTTGATGACAAATCCTGCCAAAACCCAATGATTTCACTTGGTGTAACGCCATGAACTGCAATCAAACGCCTGTACTTACAGATATCGAAATCAATTTTATAAAGGAAGAACTGTTTATCTTCTGGAATACTGATGTTCACCTTGAGTATATTTAAGCAAATTCCAACATATACATCTTCAAATTTAATAGGTTTGATATGACTCATCAGTTCGTAAATCCTCAGAGCCAGTTTTCCATCCAATATATACCCCATCCCGCTGCAATACGGAGGATACAACCTGAACGGATATTCATCATAGGAGATGTACCTTTTCTTGTGAAAGCCTCTGTAGGCAAAGTTATCTATAAGAGGATAACCAGTAAAAACGTTTTCGGAGGAATTCAGCTTCAGAAGAAATTTGACCAGGTTAGCGGTGTTGAGGAAGACATCACCATCAGTCTTCATGAAGAACCGAGCATTTGAACAGAACTCCGTGACCCACCTGAACGCCATGATCGTTTTCAAGGTGAGATTGTCATAAGTGTCCATAAAATCCTGGCGAATTATGTCACCGTAGAGGGTGCTCTCCTCTTCTACTGACAGTGCTGATGCACTCTCTTCTCTTTGAGTGTCTTGACCTAGTAAGAAAAGGGTTAGAATTCGATGGCCCCACCAGAAATCTTGAGATCCCCACGTTAGCCTGATGGCCTGCCTTGATTTCACATCCTGAGGACGTGAAGACACCAAGATGACAAGAAACGGGTCTATGTCTCTGCATTTCAGGCGCTCCCGCAGCGTGAAGGGGTACTGCTGCTTGTGAATCGGCTCGTATTCGTAGAAATACATAACGTTTGCGTGCTCCCTCACCATGTTGGAAGGAAAAATTACATACCACACTGTTATGATAGAACATACAAGAAGAAATAAAAAAATCCATTTTAATGGCCTCGCATACATGACACTAACTGGAACAGGGCAATAACTACTTTGCAGAAGTGCATCCGTGACCTTCAAAATCTGTACCGCAAGTTCTGAAGCGTGTTTCTTGCTGAAAGAGAAATGAAAAAGTAATATTCAGAATGCTAATATTCAAATATTGTCTTTTTCTTATTGTGTCTAAAGTGTCAATTGGAAGCACGCTGTAACAGAACGAGGACAAGTCCAAGACTCAGTGGTCCGGCTGTTACACACAGCGTCCTCACAGCCCCAATCACCCCCGTATCCCAGGCACGAGTAGGAGCAGAACGCGGAGCGCTACCGAGCACAGGACGGATTGAAATCTCACTGCTTTCACCTGGGAAATCTCCCCTACACAAACCTCATCTCCGCACAAGATCACACGTCAAGCACTGTGATCCCAGAGATCTCAGCACAACATCTTCAACGCAATGAAATCTCTAGGAAAGAAACACCACGCACAAAATCTAATGGCTACAAAGTGTTCATCAAGTTGACGCTCAGAGGCTTCAAAATTTTCTGATTTATTTTACAGAAAAGAATTCTACTAGTTTTTATAAGCTGGAGCAAATCAGCCAAGAAAGCAGGTAAAAAGAGAAGTACAAGCAAATATTTCATCCCTCATTTAAGGGTTGAGCAGCGACTTTGTTCTGAACTCACTGAAGAGGTGATGGGAGTGAGGGAAAAAATCATCCTCCTCACAACTAACGTCAGAGCTGCAGACACGCAAACACAAACCTGTCTTGACAGCCCCAGCTCTTACACTGCCCAAAGAAACGGCTACTCCCACACCATGCCACGCAGCCATCGTTTATTTTCTGATATGTCCTTATTAAATCAAGCGATTCAATGAAGGGGCACTGCAACCAACTTTGTCATGGCAGCTTTACTGCTGACATAATGGGAGCAGCTGGGAATCCACCGCAGCAGATGAGCTTCAAATCTCAAACAAGTTCTGTAAATTCTTCTAATATTTTCCATTTAAACAAATGACACTACAAAGTCCTTAAGTTTTAAAGAAGAAGGGAACCCATCTGGATTATTTTCATGAAACGTCTACAAACCCTGCTCCCATCTGCCCGGACAGGGAAACACGACTGATTTTGCTGAGCTCCATCAGGCAGCACACACAAACCCAAAACAGCCACCAGCACGAGAGATGAGATGAACCAAGGCCATTTCTCGATTAGAGACACTCGTCTTGGTCCAGAGTCCAATCTACCTGGGGGCAGGCACTTACAAACCCTCGTGGAGCTCATGCTGAAGACACTACTACAGTAGCGCCTATAGGACCAGATATCCAAATCAATATGTCTTTCCAAAACTAAATTTAAAAACAGAATTTCACTCCCGTGCCCTCCATTTAGCAGTGCTTACCTTTACTGTGTTTCTTTAAAACTACAGAGGCTGTGAACATATATTAGGTATCTTTAAACCAAAATAATTACCGCGTCTTACTGTGGGAGTTCCAAACGATTTCTAATGTTTGCAGTAATAATATTTACCCTGCGCTGTGAAGTTTCCACAAAGACACAGTAAGGATGATGGAAGGTTCAATTTCATAGCGCAATTAATTACTACTTATCTTCAAAAAAGATCACTGCAGGGCTTCTGAATGTTTTACATAAAAAAAGAAAAATAAATCCAAAAATCAACACACCACGCTACAATTTAGGTGAATTTGATTTGCCAGAGCCCACCTGCCTTGTATTTCTGTGTAGGATGTGAATTTGAATTAACAATCTTTTAAAGGAAGCATTTGGAGCCCATCTCATCAACGATGCATAACACATCACTTAAAATATACTAATGCAATTTTATATAAATAGCTATATTTAAATAGAAGAATTTCAGACTGATCTCTCTTAAAGCTGTGTTACTCCAAAAATACTGTGTGGCTAACAGGAGTCAATCCTTCATTAAAGGGACCTCACATAACTGCAGATGAAGACGGGAGTTACATTAAGACCTTCCTAACACGACTGACAGCCTAGCTCATAAAAACCTAGAACCTCACAAGTTTTATGCTGACTCACTCATTTTTCTCCATGAGGATTAAACATATGTAAGTAAAACAGAATACCAGTTTGGCAAGTGCAGAGGAAACTGTCACCGGGACTTTCATGCTGCATTTAGGGAAGCTGATTATAACTGCAAAAAACTCAGATTTGCCAATCTGGTATTTACTTCCCAGCTATACGGGAAGAAAAAAGAAAAGTAATAAAAATGTTCAATTCTCTCATATACACCAACCTGACTTATAGTGGAACAATATGAAAAATACAGACTGGAAGAAAATAACCAAGTTCTATAGCAGTGCTTATGTATTTGATTTGCAAAGAATCACAGAATGTTCATGGTTGGAAGGGACCTTTGAGATCATCAAGTCTAATCATACACACACGCACACATACACACACACACACACAGAGAGAAAACAAAAAAACCAAAGAAACCAACCCACAAACAAACACAAAACACCCAACCCAACAATCTCAAGCACTAGATCATGCCCTCAAGTGCCACGTCTACACGTTTCTTAAATACCCCCAGGGATGGTGACTCCACCACCTCCCTGGGCAGGCTGTTCCAGTGCCTGACCACCCTCTCAGGAAAGTAATTCTTCCTGATATCTAATCTAAACCTCCCCTGCTGCACCTTCAGACCATTTCCTCTGGTCCCGAATTTTATAGATATATTAAGATTTCTCAGGGTTTGATGATCAATTTCAGTAAAAGCATATCAAAGTTTGATCAGTTCTTCACTACCTAATAGAAAAAAAATCTGATTATAGGGATTTTGATTCTTTATGGAGAGAAAAGCCTGATTCCATGACATTTTGAACAGACTCGGACACCAATGCCTGATCTGCTACCTAACGAAAAACCTGGGAAAATAAATCATCAGTTCAGGTCCTTTGCCCACCCTATGCAAAACCCAGCCTTAAAGCTGCCCAATCTTTACAAAAAAGCTGCACCACAGGGCACCCAGCGCTGTAAAATGCTGCTTTGCTCCATGACTCCTGAGGAACCAGGAACCCACAAACTCTGCTGGATCGCGTTCCTCCAGTCACGTGCTATCCTGTTTGCAAGCCAGCACAGGTCCACCAAACCACCGTTTTTATAATGGTCACGGGGTAGAAACTACACTCCCCAAAACATGAGGCAGCTATTCCTGCAGTGCTGGGAATCCAGAATACGTGTAGTCATCCTCCAGCATCAAGCCCAGGGCTCCGACTTCAACCACACGCAGAGAATAATAAAAGGGCTGATTAAAGGGGAAACCCAAACCAGAGCCCTCGACAAGAAAATCCCCTCCTTTTCCTATTTATTTCAAATGCTTAAAACAAAGTAAATAAGGTTGAAGAACCTGAAAGTTGAGGTGGCACGTTTGCTTGGAGGTGGTTTGGTTGCAGACCTTCCAGCTATGCCCGGGACAGCTTCTCCACCGCTTCCAGACTCTGTCTCCCAGCCGTGTGGCAGCAGCACGGGACACGCAGCAGGAGCAGCACCAGGTCAGGAACTCCTTCCAGGGAAGTGTTTTCACTTGTTTCCAAGCTCACGGCTCGCTGGCAGGACACCAAAGAACCCGAGGTTACGCTGACCGATAAAACTGATCAACTTTCAAACAAACGTAAGAAAGAACATACTGAGCATGCTCTACAGAAATTTTTGATGTGCTTCTCACCCCCTGCTACAGCTAGGTAATTACTGAGTGCAGACATTCTTGACAGGAAAAAGGTGGCAAATTCCCATATTCATTAAAGTCTAATAGTTACAATAACCACTGGAGAGTCCAATTTAAAGATTTAAATAATTTGGAAATACATCACTGCTCCTGGCTTCTCACTTTCTTCATATGGTTTACTACCAATAGAAATGAGAGGAATTTTTGCAAGATCCTGGGCTATGGCGATCTAATATAACAACACTTTAAAAATAATTTTAAATAACCTTGAACAATGGCTTCCTCTCACTTCAATCTTAATGCTCGGTTCCAGGTAACTTCTCACAACACAGAGCATCACTGGGAGGTGACAGCCCAGAAGGTAGAATTCATTAAGAGAAAATCTACTGCCCTCTGCTGAAACCATATAAAAATTTAAAGCCATTTAACCGTTTTATATTTAAAAAAGGGGAAACACGATGACAGAAGTGAAAGTACACAGGAGGCTGCTCCGCAGGCCGCCTCCAGAGCCCTTCCTTCCCCTCAGCACCCCCATGGGGCACGAATCCCCTCCCTTCCCCTCAGCACCCCCAAGGGGCAGGGGGTCCCTTTCCTTCTCCTCAGCACCCCCATGGGGCACAAATCCCCTCCCTGCCCCTCAGTACCCCCATGGGGCAGGGGTCCCCTCCCTTCCCCTCAGCACCCCCATGGGACAGGGGGTCCCTTTCCTTCTCCTCAGCACCCCCATGGGGCAGGGGGTCCCCTCCCTTCCCCTCAGCACCCCCATGGGGCACGAATCCCCTCCCTTCCCCTCAGCACCCCCATGGGACATGGGTCCCCTCCCTCCCCTCAGCACCCCCAAGGGGCAGGGGGTCCCTTTCCTTCTCCTCAGCACCCCCATGGGGCAGGGGTCCCCTCCCTTCCCCTCAGCAGCCCCATGGGGCAGGGGTCCCCTCCCTCCCTTCAGCACCCCCATGGGGCAGGGGTCCCCTCCCTTCCCCTCAGCACCCCCATGGGGCAGGGGTCCCCTTCCCTCCCCTTGCTGTCCCCAGGCCACCGCCTCAGCACCGCCCGGGGGACTCCCGGTCGTTAGTGGTCCCTTCCCCTCAGCACCCCCATGGGGCACGAATCCCCTCCCTTCCCCTCAGCACCCCCATGGGGCAGGGGTCCCCTCCCTTCCCCTCAGCACCCCCATGGGGCAGTGGTCCCTTCCCCTCAGCACCCCCATGGGGCAGGGGTCCCCTCCCTTCCCCTCAGCAGCCCCATGGGGCAGGGGTCCCCTCCCTCCCTTCAGCACCCCCATGGGGCAGGGGTCCCCTCCCTTCCCCTCAGCACCCCCATGGGGCAGGGGTCCCCTTCCCTCCCCTTGCTGTCCCCAGGCCACCGCCTCAGCACCGCCCGGGGGACTCCCGGTCGTTACCGTTACCGCGCCCGGTGCCGCCTCCTGCCCGCTGGCCGGGCGGGACCGGGCCTCGCGCCTCCTCACAGCCGGGCGGCGGCGGGTCTCGGCGGGAAGGGCCGGGTCGGGCCGGGGCAGGCGGGCGGCGCGGAAGTGAGGGCGGCGGGCGGCAGCGGGAAAAACCCGCCTCATCCTCCGCCTGCTGGCGGGGGCCGCGGCGGGGCCGGGGGACGAGGCGGCGGGTCCCGGCAGCGGGGCTCCGGCTGGATCCTTCCTTAAAAATCACAGCGTAGTCGGGTGTGGGATGAAAGTTTATGGATGCCGGGAAAGAAGAGACAGGTGTCGTCAATCAAACCTGCTCCTCTTCAGCCCCTGGAGTTGACCGTGGTGAGCATCCATGGTGAGGATCCGTGGTGAGGGTCCATGGTGACCATCCGTTGTGAGGATCCGTGGTGAGGATCCATGGTGAGGATCCGTTGTGAGGATCCGTGGTGAGGATCCATGGTGACCATCCGTTGTGAGGATCCGTGGTGAGGATCCGTGGTGAGGATCCATGGTGAGGATCCATTGTGAGGATCCGTGGTGAGGATCCATGGTGAGGATCCATTGTGAGGATCCGTGGTGAGGATCCATGGTGACCATCCGTTGTGAGGATCCGTGGTAAGCATCCATGCTGAGCATCCGTGGTGAGGATCCATAGTGAGCATCCATGATGACTGTCCATGGTGAGGATCCATGGTTAGCATCCATGGTGAGGATTCACCCCAAGCCTCCCCAAAGTATTAATTACATTTTGTAACGTTACATAAGCACGCAGTGGAATATCCTGCTTGGACAATGTGGGAACCTGCGCAGTTTATGTAAACCTCCATGGTTTACGAAAGGTTTATTGTGCAAAGTTTGAGTTCAGATTAATGGACGGCAAATCAGCTGTCCCAGTTGTTTTTTATCACTCTTGATATTTTTACGCTGAACCCATAGGCAAACCCCACAGTGGCGAGACAGCCTCACCCCCGCAGAGCAAATACACCTTTGGACAAATCAAAGGCAGGTTTCTCATTCTTCCAAATGCTCATCTTTGGGTGCAAATGTAGCTGCAGAAGCTGCGAGCAGTGTCCGGGGCTCTGAGCTCCAGAGTAACACGGGACACTGTGTCGGGAAGGGACTCGGCATCACAACGTCTCACTCGGAACCAAGCTCAGGTCTGACTTGGGTACAGGTAAAAACTGCAAAACCATGGAGTCTTCAGAAGTGAGCTGTTCTGGCCTGGAAATAAATGTAATTAGCTTGTAAGAAGTCGGACATCACTGAACCAATTCTTTAAGGTGACAGTCAGATGTAAGAAATAAACAGTTGAGACCATAAATATCGAATACAGTTGGAACAAACATACAGAGTAATTTTTAAATCATGGCACGACCCAGGGACACGGACCATCCATCCGCTCTGTCACAGCCTGCCCAGAGGGGAGGGTTTGCCCTTGATCAGGATAACCATATTTCAAGGGAATGGCCTGCTATTTCGCAGGGAATTAGGATTCATTTGACTGTGTTAACAATGTCTTTTGCATAGTTTCCTGTCTCCCCTTTTTTCGATTCATTCATACACATTATTTACAAAGAAACACAAACACTTTCTTCCCTGGTTTAACACACATCATGACCTGCTCCTGAAAAAAAAATCCTATACATAATCTATACGTGTTATTAAATACGAAAAAATGCACAACAGTGAGTATGTCACTGTCATCTTTTGTTGCCCCCAATTACTTCTGGTATAACCCTTTCAGCTTCAAGAGAAACCAGATTATAACTTGTCTGTCAAGACTGAGGTTGATTTTACGCAACGTGGGTAATATCTGAGCAACCAATGTCGTAATTATCAAAATGATTACCCTATCAGTCAGCAGCTCGTTTGGCCAGAAGACCTTTACGTCTTTGTGCTGATTATGTACTTTCTGAAGGGAAGACAAATGGTAATAACTAATAGTAGTGTGTCTGGGTAAAAGGGCAAATAAGTTCTGCAAGCCCAGCCCAGGCCTACCAAGTGTCAAAAAAACAGAGATTCAACAGAAATTAAGTAATATTAGACTTAATTTTCTATCTCCTCTACTATTTGCTGGTCCAGAATATTTTGATTCAGACTCAGTTATTGTCCCCCTTCTTGTTCCTGAAGGAAATCTTGATAATAGATCAGTGGGCTACAGCAGAACAGAGCACAATGAAGCTAATGGAAATTCTTAATTTCAGGGAGCCGAGTCTCAGTAATGATCAGTTTGTAAGATCTGTAGCTGGTCTCCACCATGCAGGGTGCAGTTAAGCTTGTCCCTACAAACACAACTCCGGCAGCGTAATCGGAGCAGACAACTTCACGCGTGAGTGGGCAGGAGGAGCGACCACCGGAGAGCGAGGGGGTGTTGGAGCAGAGCACCTTTTCACATGGAGTCCTCTCCTGGTTTGACTGAGCCCGTGTAGACTCACATTAGAAACCTCTTGGGGTTGGTTTGTTGCTGGGAGATGGGATGCACCGATAAACCAGGCACCTTGTCATTTCGTGGATTGGTAAGTATGGACAAACCTTAACATTTCCCCTCCTCCCTGGCTGCGATTATCTTTTGTTTCTTTTCCGAAATAGTGCAGATTCAGTAACAAAGGGATTTATCTCTGGGCACGCAGTGAAGGAGGGCAGACAGGTAGCGGTTCCCTGGGAAGTACAGCCAGGCTGCTGCTGCTTCAGCACAGACAAATTCACATCATGAAGAGCTCTTGATGGTCACGTAACTGTGGTTCGCTGTTCAAACAGGTTCGAAGACTGTAACCTTTGCGCTTGTGACCAATCAGTACGTTACTCATCATTGTTCCCACCCACAGGCTTGGCACTGAACAGTACACCTTCATAAATCCTGTTTGCATGTTATCAAGTCAATAAAAGCCCACATGTATTTGTACAGAGCTTTTACTGACTTTTCATAGAGCAGAGCTGCTTCTTCCCCTTCCTCTTCCTGACTCTTTGTGCTTCATCTCCCAGAGGAAGAAAGAAATTTTGCTGACAGAAATCGGCTTCAGGGTGAATTCCAGCTTTAAGGCTTCCTGGAGGACACCCCGGCACGAATGGGCCTCCAGAGCACCAAACACTCCAAAGTCAAGCAAGCGAATATAGTGATGCTGGGACTTGATTCTGCTGGAAAATCTACACTCTTGTACAAGTTCAAGTATACCGATGATTTTTTAACAATTCCAACAATTGGCTTTAACGTTGACATGATTGAAACCGAGAAAGATTTTACATTGACGGTTTGGGATGTTGGAGGACAACAGAAAATGAGACAGGTTTGGTGCAATTTCCTGGAAAACACAGACGGACTGATGTATGTTGTGGACAGCTCTGATAAGAGGCGTCTGGAAGAATCAAAGAAAGAATTTGAATTCATTTTAAAGAATGAATACATAAAAAGGGTACCGGTCGTCATGCTAGCGAACAAGCAGGATCTGCCTGGAGCTTTGAACGCTGAGGAAATAACCAGGAGATTCAACATGAAGAAATACTGCAGTGACAGAAATTGGTACGTACAACCCTGTTGTGCTATCACAGGAGAAGGTTTGTCAGAAGCTCTCCAAAGACTAACCACATTTGCAAAACAGTACAGCAGATCAAAGGAGACTTCCACAAACTTTAAGGAAATTGAAACACTTTAAGAATTTCTCGTCAAATTCTGGTGAACTTTAATCAGCATATTTTGTTGGACAGCCTAAATCCAGAAATACTGGATTCTGGAGAACTATAACTAAATATTTATAAAGAACTTTGACAATATTAAGTTATACTGTTATACACGCAGGTGCTTCTGAGATACTGCTCTGCAGCATTTTATTAGTGATCGTATACTTGGGGTTATTCAGCTCAGAAGTGTGACGGTTGAACTGTGAAAAAGGTGGAGCTGAGCTTCTGGACTTTAGCAAGTGGAAACAAAATAGGTGAGCAGTGCTTAAAATGCTTAAATTGTGTTACTTTGTCAAGATGTAAAATAGTCAAGTTGGTGGTTCAGCAAGAAAAACGAGAAAGAAAATGTTGTTTCAGAATAAACGGTCAGTGGATGTATTTCTCATGTAAAAATATAATCATTTTAGACCTTCACCTCTTAGTTATGTTTAAGAGAGCCTGTGGATCTGAAGTACCTGTTGGATATCATTGCGTTTTTAACAAACAGGATCTGCTCCGCATCAAGCCTCAGCAAAACAACTGGGGTCCAGTGCTGTTTGTAAGGTGTAAGTCTGACGTCTCTCTGTTACAGATTTCCATGAGCCCATTTCTTTGTTTCTGTGCTGTCAGATTGCTATCCTTAGCCCAGAGCAGAGCGATGGAAACCAGTATGGGATCGGTCCAGCGAAACACTGATCCCCCTTGGTTTTGGGGTGGGGGATAAAGAGGGGAGGAATGGGGGGATTGGCTCCTTGCGTCATTTTTTTATAGATCTTGATGGATCCTGTCCTGCCTGTACTGAAGCCGCCTAAAATTTTGTTACTGATAAATTTAGGTTTGATTAAATTTGACATGTGGCACAAAATTTCTAAACCTATTACTACAGTTTGTAGAATAAAAAAATCCCAATGAAATTTCTGTTCAAATTTCCTGGTTCACGAAGGAGTGAATTAGTATTGTGCATGCCGTTAAAGCAATGAAGGATTGATAACTAGGAGACTAATTGAACTGCATCAACCATGAAAACAGTTTAAATGCTAAGGCTGAAAAGTTAATAGGGCCTGCTATTTTAAAAGCAAGAGAAAAGAGACCGTCTAATTATTGGTTATACAGTCCCAGAAAATCCAGCCCAATTATTTCTGTCTTCTTGAGCAATGTCTGCAGAGGTAGGATGCTCCAGTGGTTAGGATACTTGCTTAGATAGATGGATGGGTTTTTGCCCTTCGTCTACCGCAATCTTTGACCACGGCCAAGTCATTTAATCACTCTTGCCTCAACAGTCCCATGGCAAAATGAACTTCCCAGTTACACACTCTGAAAAAAGTTGTGGCAAGGGTCAGCTTGGGAGCTTTTCTCCTGCGACAAAATGATGATGCCAAGTAATTCATGTAAGAAATTTACATTTAGCTCTTACTAATAAACAGGCAGGAATTTCAAGTTACAGAAGGGTGAAGTAGCAAGAAAAGCACCCAGACGTACCCTGTTGTCTCATGCATAGATTATTCAAAGACAAAAAATCATCAGGTGAATTTGCTGAAATAGTAAACAAAGCACTGTTTCTCAACAGAAGCTGTTATTAATACTGACACTAATTACCACAGGCTAAATCCTGAGTCATGTTGAGACTACATTTCTAAAAGGAGAGCAAATATTTAGACTTGTCATTGCCTGGTCTGATGATTTAGGCTCAATATAAAGTATCATCTTCCGTCCCAAAAAAGATTTTTACAACTCTATAACAATGGGAATATTATTTTTCTAAACCAAACGATTCAATGCTAAAAAATGTAGTATTTCAGACCACTACATTTATAAACATTTGCATGTGTACGTTACATATTGAATTCTCCCACTAGTTTAATCTAATCATGTGGCTATTATAAATCTGAACCTAGTTCACTGCCCTCAGGACTTCCTTAGGGAATAAGACTCCTTGAGAGATTTAATGAGAGTGCACCAGGGTCTCTAATTAGACGAGAAGCAAGTTCTGAAGGGAGAAATAAAGTAGTATAATAGACCAGCTCATATAGCTAAAAAGAGAATAAGCTCTCAGGCACACAGTCCCTTCTCCAGGATATCAAATTAGATTAAATGATACTCACATTGACATGAAGAAAATCTTTCACATTATGCTTCAAAAGAAATAAATAAACTCTATTCCATTTACTTTACAGAATACCAACTATTTAAAAATTGATTTTTCTAAGAGCTTGGTTTCCAAAAGAAGTGAAGCTGTGCCCATTTTATCTGCCCATGGAGACCCCCACGTAAGCTAATTTTTAAGCTTGAAAACAAATATCAATCAGGTTGAACAGGGGCGCACACTCTCAAAGGAATTATATGCCTGAAAGTTTAATTAAAAAAATCAGTGAGATAGAGAAAAGTGACCATACTGGTGCCCCAGTGAAGACAAGGCTGATAAGGTACAAAAGACTAATCCCCAAGGAGATAAATGTTCCATCTGAGCCGCAAGAGAGCCTATAAGAGGGCATAAATCCACAGAGCCCAGACTTAATTAGTTCCTCTGCTCCTGGAGCAGGTTGGTCTTTTTCTATACTGCCTGAGTAATTAGGATGAGGAGATGGAAGATACAGAATCCACTGCTTAAAACTTCCTTTCTACACCTGGAGTAAAGCATCACCCTGGCTGCTCACCATGTTTTGGGAAGGATCCCCAAAAAAGCATATTCCATGGGGAGGAAGGTGCAGAGGAAGTGGAACCTCTGGCTCTGGGAAGGATCCCAAAAAAAAAGCATATTCCGTGGGGAGGAAGGTGCAGAGGAAGTGGAACCTCTGGCTCAGTTCTGCAAGAACACAGAGCTGGGCACCGCGCTGCCCGCTTTGCAGACTGGGGTTTGTTCTGAAGTACAGTCAGTTGGCAAAGGCAGGAGGGAGCAGGGAGGGCACCGCTCACTTTGCAGACTGGGGTTTGTTCTGAAGTAGAGTCAGTTGGCAAAGGCAGGAGGGAGCAGGGCTCCCTGAGCCACTCACCGCAGCGTCTGGGCCTTCTGCCCTCACCCCCATACTCTGCCCAGGGCCCTGTCTGGTCCCCACTGGAAGCCTGGAAATTGTTTGATATCCAATGCCGTCACGTGTAACGTGGTGAAATTAATAGCAAGGAAGTTATAAAGGCGTTTTACAGCTTCATCCTGCAACGGAGAGTTTCAGATCTTTTGACAGCTGGGCTGAACAATATAATCAGCAGAATTGCCTTTGTGTTTCAGAGCACAGCAAAGTGGAATTCCACATATGCTAAAAATACAATCCACAGCATCATAAGCATGATTTACTCCTGGATGAGTTTTGTTTTATTTTATTATTTAGAATTTATATAGGTTACTCACTTAAAAACAATTTTAGAATTTTTGAAGGGTTCAAGGTGCTTTGAAAAGGTAAAAAAAGCAGCATATGAAGAGTGCTGCCCCCTCCTTAGCAGTGAAACCAACGTTTGTAAATTTAAGAGTTTGCATAGGATGAATGGCCTTAAAGAGTCGTGTCGTCGTCCCCCCAGCTATTTATATTGCTTCGGGTTTTGGAACTTTTTTCATTAGCTTTCCTAATAAATCACACCCTGACTACCCTGCTGTTTCTTGCATTTTTTATTGATGCACACCAACAATCTTCTGCAACTGTGCTGAAGCAGCAGAAGCATTACAACTATGTTGTAGCTGAAGTGTACCAGTCCTCTAGTGTTTGCTAATATTTCTTACACAAAGTTTGCTGTTCCTGTCTGCTTCTCCTGACAGAAGAGTCATCCATGAAGAAATAAATGGTGCGCATCTGAGATTGTGAAACACAAAGGGGAAACTCGAGGCGTGCTGTATCCTGTGCCCTCTCAAGGAGATTATCCACTGGGACGTGTTTGGATATGACAATTTAAAAGCTGACAAATCCAGAATATGGGGAACTGTCCTTCTGACCATTCATTGATAAGATTACTGTGGTATAAAATCATGATGAGTTTTCTGAGTTTTGAAATAGCTGTCATGGAGCTCACTGAACAGAATTCCAGTGGGATGAAAAGCTATTTTAAGGGAAGGTATGGAGCAGCATAAGAAAACAGTGCAAATTTGGATAGTAACACTCCCTCCTGCTTTGCCTGGGAAACAGCTCTCCCAATAATTGAATACACTGCAAAATCAAAGGGAAGTGCAAGGGAATAAGACTCCTTGAGAGATTTAATGAGAGTGCACCAGGGTCTCTAATTAGACGAGAAGCAAGTTCTGAAGGGAGAAATAAAGTAGTATAATAGACCAGCTCATATAGCTAAAAAGAGAATAAGCTCTCAGGCACACAGTCCCTTCTCCAGGATATCAAATTAGATTAAATGATACTCACATTGACATGAAGAAAATCTTTCACATTATGCTTCAAAAGAAATAAATAAACTCTATTCCATTTACTTTACAGAATACCAACTATTTAAAAATTGATTTTTCTAAGAGCTTGGTTTCCAAAAGAAGTGAAGCTGTGCCCATTTTATCTGCCCATGGAGACCCCCACGTAAGCTAATTTTTAAGCTTGAAAACAAATATCAATCAGGTTGAACAGGGGCGCACACTCTCAAAGGAATTATATGCCTGAAAGTTTAATTAAAAAAATCAGTGAGATAGAGAAAAGTGACCATACTGGTGCCCCAGTGAAGACAAGGCTGATAAGGTACAAAAGACTAATCCCCAAGGAGATAAATGTTCCATCTGAGCCGCAAGAGAGCCTATAAGAGGGCATAAATCCACAGAGCCCAGACTTAATTAGTTCCTCTGCTCCTGGAGCAGGTTGGTCTTTTTCTATACTGCCTGAGTAATTAGGATGAGGAGATGGAAGATACAGAATCCACTGCTTAAAATTTCCTTTCTACACCTGGAGTAAAGCATCACCCTGGCTGCTCACCATGTTTTGGGAAGGATCCCCAAAAAAGCATATTCCATGGGGAGGAAGGTGCAGAGGAAGTGGAACCTCTGGCTCAGTTCTGCAAGAACACAGAGCTGGGCACCGCGCTGCCCGCTTTGCAGACTGGGGTTTGTTCTGAAGTACAGTCAGTTGGCAAAGGCAGGAGGGAGCAGGGCTCCCTGAGCCACTCACCGCAGCGTCTGGGCCTTCTGCCCTCACCCCCATACTCTGCCCAGGGCCCTGTCTGGTCCCCACTGGAAGCCTGGAAATTGTTTGATATCCAATGCCGTCACGTGTAACGTGGTGAAATTAATAGCAAGGAAGTTATAAAGGCGTTTTACAGCTTCATCCTGCAACGGAGAGTTTCAGATCTTTTGACAGCTGGGCTGAACAATATAATCAGCAGAATTGCCTTTGTGTTTCAGAGCACAGCAAAGTGGAATTCCACACATGCTGAAAATACAATCCACAGCATCGTAAGCATGATTTACTCCTGGATCAGTTTTGTTTTATTTTGTTATTTAGAATTTATATAGGTTACTCACTTAAAAACATTTTTAGAATTTTTGAAGGGTTCAAGGTGCTTTGAAAAGGTAAAAAAAGCAGCATATGAAGAGTGCTGCCCCCTCCTTAGCAGTGAAACCAACGTTTGTAAATTTAAGAGTTTGCATAGGATGAATTAAAAACAATTTTAGAATTTTTGAAGGGTTCAAGGTGCTTTGAAAAGGTAAAAAAAGCAGCATATGAAGAGTGCTGCCCCCTCCTTAGCAGTGAAACCAACGTTTGTAAATTTAAGAGTTTGCATAGGATGAATGGCCTTAAAGAGTCGTGTCGTCGTCCCCCCAGCTATTTATATTGCTTCGGGTTTTGGAACTTTTTTCATTAGCTTTCCTAATAAATCACACCCTGACTACCCTGCTGTTTCTTGCATTTTTTATTGATGCACACCAACAATCTTCTGCAACTGTGCTGAAGCAGCAGAAGCATTACAACTATGTTGTAGCTGAAGTGTACCAGTCCTCTAGTGTTTGCTAATATTTCTTACACAAAGTTTGCTGTTCCTGTCTGCTTCTCCTGACAGAAGAGTCATCCATGAAGAAATAAATGGTGCGCATCTGAGATTGTGAAACACAAAGGGGAAACTCGAGGCGTGCTGTATCCTGTGCCCTCTCAAGGAGATTATCCACTGGGACGTGTTTGGATATGACAATTTAAAAGCTGACAAATCCAGAATATGGGGAACTGTCCTTCTGACCATTCATTGATAAGATTACTGTGGTATAAAATCATGATGAGTTTTCTGAGTTTTGAAATAGCTGTCATGGAGCTCACTGAACAGAATTCCAGTGGGATGAAAAGCTATTTTAAGGGAAGGTATGGAGCAGCATAAGAAAACAGTGCAAATTTGGATAGTAACACTCCCTCCTGCTTTGCCTGGGAAACAGCTCTCCCAATAATTGAATACACTGCAAAATCAAAGGGAAGTGCAGTGTATGAGGAATGCAGGACAAGGCTTTTTCAGATCAGGTAATGCAGAGTTGGGTGAATTACTCAAAATGTCTCTGTTGCCATCTCCTCCTCATTTCTGACACATAAACCGAAACAACCAAAGGAAAGATTTTCATACATCAAGTTCTAAGTGTACTGCAAAGGAATACAATACTTTGAAGTGCCATATGCATATTAAACTGCTTAAAGCAGGCTTTCTTCCCAAAGTAAATGACCCATGCTGAGTTCTGTGCTGCTACAATTAAATGTCTTCCACTTATAATTAGCTCAAGTGTTCCCACTCAGCAGAGGCATAAGGACTCTGGACATGTAGCACCAGATCACGCAGATTAGATTATACAAGTCTCTAATTTCGGATGTAAACTTTTGAGGGTGGAGGCCCTACTTGCAAAGCACACACCATACTGCAGGTACAATTTGCAAGTACAAATTCATAAAACAGTAACAAGTCCAAACACGTTTTATTTTGAACACATGTGATTTTAACAAATTGTGCATTAGCTTGTGTTTCAGTTTCTTCAATATTGTGTTCCTCAGCTGTGATAAATGTTCTTGTACCACTCCCACTCGTCCCCACTGTAACTGTAGCACATCTAGTTGGGCTGCCACCAAGAGACACCTCCCCTCATCCTCTGCCACCTTTTCATCCCACTCCCCAGCTACACATTAACACTTGCAGGTCTCTGAATAGCAGAACTTTTCCCACTTCCCTTGCCCTTCACCAGTTATCACAATGGTGATGTGGTGTTTTTATTAGATTTTCATTGAGTGGTTTTGTGCTTGCTCTCATGCTACTCCTTATACTTGGAATTACCCAAACACATTTACAAAGCCATTTCATTGTTTACTTTCAGATCCTTCCTTAAAGCACTTTCCCATGATGCAAAAAACCTGTCAACAGCTGTTAGGGTTTTGTAAGGAGGCCACAGCCCATATCTTTTGATGAGTATTCTTTTATTATTTCCTTGTTCTCCCCATATTTATTCACCTGTTCCCTTTTAGACATAGAATATGCTTTCTTTGGTGCAAAGATCATGTTTTTGTTCTGTGTTTCATATACTGCCTGATTGAGGAGAAGAGTTCCTAGACCTACTGCTATAAGTAGCCTGAATCTCAATGAAGTATCTGCTAAAACAAGTAATTTTGTGAATTTAAATAAACCATCCAGCTCTGCAACCTGAGCCATGTGTATTAT